TTACACTTGAGGCCCTTTTTCCAGGTTTATAAAGATTCTCCTTTGTTCCTGCGTGCCAGAAATGACCAAGGGAAGAGATAACGTCCTCATGGTTTAAGTAGCATAGAAAATACACAAATCCCATAAGGCAGAAACTTCAATGTTTTTCTTCACTGCTGTCCTGATGTTTTTGATGAACCTTCAATAAATGTGCATTGATTTGATTGATAGAAAGGCTAAAAATACCATACATGGTCAGGTTCAGGGAAAGGGAGACAACACAATAGCGACAATTATATCTTTTTTCTCCTTCTCTTTTGTGGGTTTTGATTTCATTACTCTTTAGGGTGATGATAAAGTGACCCCAAGGTCAAAGTTTTTGTTTCTCAACTGTATTTGATGTCTATCAACCTCCTGTGTGAAGGATGAATGAATGACAATGTCTGTTAACTGAATGAAAGAATAAGAACTCAAAGCAGCATTAACTCAACCATTGTTCTTAAAACAGCATTAACTCAACCATTGTTCTTGTTGTTGTCCTGGTTTATTTTTTTCCTTCTGGACACCAGAGTCAAAGTTGTGTGTAAGACCATTTGGTATACTTCAACTAGACTACCACATTTCAGAGAAGTAGATTTCAACATACTAAAATAAGTCTTTCAAGATGCATTGGAATATTGAATAATTCTGAACATACTACACAGCCTCTGTGTTCAGAGGAAGAATCTCAAGATAACTTGTTTTCTGTTCATACTGACAGGATTAGAAATGTACTATGGTTCATGTTTTGTCTACCTCAAGGTGGGCGGGGCATGAACTTGACTAACACAACTTTGTATGAATTCTGAGTAGAATTCAGGAAATACTTACTAGAAGGCTGTGGCAAGAGCTCTTTCCCACTCCATTCCACCTAAGCTTCCCATATAGCCAGTCTGGTAACCTGTCATCACCATGCAGAATTAGTGGATATTGTTCGGGACACTTTTAGCTAAACAGAAAAGGAGAATCTTCCCTTTGAACCCCTGTCCTTTGTTAACTGTTTGGCAGGTCAGGCATGGGTGGGGCGTGGAGAAGACCAGCTGTAGAGACAGCGCATACATAGCAGGAATGTTAGACAGAGGGCCGCTGGAGAACCACAAACAAGATACTACACAGAAGGTCTGTTTTCAGGTCAGCCTGCCCTCCCCGGCACAGTTCCGGTCCCACAGACCTCAGTCTTAAATTCTAGTAACATCAACGGTAGGAACTTCCTGTAAATATTTTAAATAATTACGTTCTTTAATCAAGTTATGGTGTTCATCCTATTTGATTTGATTCCCTAGTTGATAGCTGTTAGCCACTTTCCAGGTGTCCCTGCCTGTAATATCCACTCCTGGGTACTTCCTTTAGTGCGCTGCAAATTCTGGGTCCATTATAAGTAATAAGTGAAAGCTAAACATACCCCTCACACCTTTCCATGGGATCCCTCTGGTCTCTGCTGGAGCTGTGATCCTGGGTTCTAGTTAAGAAGTGCAGGAACAAAGTGCTGGATATTTTAATGAAATTAATGAACGTCACCATCAAATGATTGAAGTATTGGAAAACATATATCCTCTTCCCCTCTCTCTTAACCACTTCCCCAAGCTAAGTAGCTGAGCGTGACCTTGAACATCTGGTCCTTCTGCTCCACCTCCCAAGTGCTGGGATTACAAGTGCACACCACCATGGCTAGCTAAAATAAAGCCGCTCCCAAACAACAAGGAAAAGGTTGGAACCACCAGCCTTCCCATCATAAGTCAGCGTCACGAAGCGGCTCTCCCTACCATCTCGCTTCTGATTTTGTTCCGAAGCAGCCAAAGCTCTATGGTCAGCCTCCTGTCGGGCGGTTGATGGGGTGTTGTGCCACAGTTGGTAGAGAGAGAGGCCCAGGGCCTGTGGGCACCCTGAATCTGTGTCTCCCCATCAGCTCTATCAGCAGGGGGGCCAAGTCTAATTATCCAGAGAACCCTCAACTCAGGACCTGACCAATGAGCTACAGGGAAATCAAAGATATTTTTGCTGTCAATTCACAATTTAAAACAATAAGTTCTGCAAGGACATGATCATGAGTTTATTTCTCGTGAAGATGTTTGGAGCCAGAAATCATGCTAACCCAAAGAAAACGGACACAGAGAAGAACAGTGCATGTTTTCTCATATACGAAAACTAGATTTAAATTTGTGTGTGGTGGTGGGATGGTCAGGAACTAGACACCGGATTTGGTAATGAAAGGAGATGTCTTCAGAGTAGAGAGGAGGGAAAGAGGGGGGCAGTGATCGCTGTGCCCAGAAGGCAGAAGGAAAAGAACCCGCAAGGGGCGACCAGGAAAGATGTGAGAAGGAGATGGATTAGGATGAAGTGTAATGTCTGGAAGCGCTATAAAGAAATCCAT